GTGGTGGATAGGGACGAGCGGGACGGGGGCTGGGATGGCGGAGGCGCCGACACGGGTGAGGTGCACGGGTGGGTGGCGTGCCGGCGGGGGGCTGGGGCGGCTGAGGGCGGGGGGGGGGGTGCGTATGGCATCGGGGTGCGAGGGCGGGGCCCATCGTCGAATCACCTTGCGCATCAAAGAGCAGGACGTAAACGTCCAAACGCCCTGGTGTCCGCCCTGCGCGCTCGGCAAACCCCCTCGCTCGCCCCGCGAGCGCGGCTCCCGGCGCTGCTGCGCCGCGCCGCGCCGGCGGGGCGTCGTGGGCAGCTGCACCCTGAACCCGTAACCCCGCCCTCACCCGCGGCGTGTCGCCGCCGATCATGATGAGCCCCGAGTCTGGCCACAGCAGGACGTCGTTGATGTCACCATCAGGCGGCTCTATGCTGGTGTAGCCCTCCCCTGTGGACGCGTCCCATATCTGTTGACCGCGGGCATGCACATTCGCAGGGTGTGTGTATGTGTGTGTGTTTTTTCTTGTGTGTGTGTGTGTGTGTGTTTTCTTGTGTGTGTGTGTGTGTGCGTGCGTGCGCGCGTGTGTGTGTGTGTGCACGTGCGTGCTTGCGCGCGCGCGTGTGTGTGTGTGTGCGTGCGTGCGTGCGTGCGTGTGTGTGTGTGTGAGTGTGTGTGTGTGTGTGTGTGTGAGCTTGCGCATGTGCTCATGTGTGGAGGGAATGTGTGAGGGGAGTTGTTGAGGCAGGGGAAAGGCACGATACGAAGGACGCTGGGAATAATATCGGTGTGGTTTGCAATCTGGGAGTGTGAAGAGTTGAGGGATGGGGGCGTGCGGCCGGCCAACAAGCAAGTGTTGAGGATGTCGCGCTTGGGAGAGGGGGGCCAGGGGGCGGCAGCATGCAAGGTCGTATGGGGACGTCACACGACGCGCGGGAGCCGCGGACAACGCACGGGTCGAGTGCACACCGCTGCAGGTCCCTATATGGCTGGCCGCACGGGCCGGCACAGTGTAAAACCCTCCCTCTACCCCCTGCCCCAACCTTGACAGCGTGGCAGTCTGACGACACCACGCGCCGCGCGGCCAGGGCGCCGCCCGCGCCGCCCGCGCCGCTGACGTGCCACTTGATGTCCCTTATGGGGTCCCCATACATGTGGTCTTTAACCAGCAGCGGCCTGCTGCTCCTCAGGTCAAAGATCGCGACCAGCCCGTTGGAGGTGCCCACCGCCGCCTGCATGCCCGCGCCGTCGAAGCGGACTGCGGTCAGCGCCTCCCCCGGCGCGCCGGCGGCGGCGGCGGCGTCGAGGCGGCCGGCGGCGGCGCGGGCGCGGAGGTCGAAGCATTCGAGGGTGCCGTCCTCGCCGCCTGCGGCGAAGAGGCCGTGCACGGGGCTCACGCCTGCGGGTGCGTGCAGGTGGGGGGCGCGGGTCGGGGTCCGATGCGGGTCGGGCGGCGAGGCGAGTGAGGAGGTTCAAATCAAATGGGCTTTCAGCGGCGCCAGCGCGACGGCTGCCGCGTGGGCCGCGATGCCAAGGGCCGACCCGGCGCCACCGCTCTGCTGTTGCCAACGTGCTGACACTGCCGGCAAGCCTGGCTTGCTCACAGCACCCCTTCATTCAGAAATCACCAGAGGGGCGAGGGCGCCGCGTGCCCATCCCCGCGCCCCTGCCGTCCCCCAGAGCCGCACGGGCCCAGTGCCCGCACCCACCGCACGCGTTGACGCCCGGCGCCCTGCAGGCCAGCGGCGTCATGAAGCGCCCCTCCTCCAGGCTGATGCGCCACAGCTCGCTGGCGCTGCCCGCCACCACCAGCTCAGCCAGGTGCGGCGCATAAGCCAGGTCGCGCCCCTGCCGCGGGGTGCGCACCTGTAGCGAAAGGAAGGGGGGACGACAGAGCAGCGCGATACAACATGTTGCGCGAGCGCGTGAGAGCATGAAGCGCGTGCTCAGGTGAGTGTCGCCCGGGCCGCCTGCCGCGCCGCAAACACCCTTGAGCTGCTGAGCTGTACCGCTGCCAGCACGCGTCCCACGCGTTGACCCGTTCAGTGCAAAGGCGCGGTGCGCGGGCGCCCTTGCCTTGTAGTAGCCTCCGAACCGCGCGTGGAACGAGACGGTGCGGTCTGCGCACAGGAACGCCGCCTTGGAGTAGTCCTCTGATAGGATGGTGAAGTCGACCACCTGCCACGGCGATGACGTCACGCATGCGATACGGTCGCCGGCGAAAGGCCCGGTTGATACAAGGAGAGTTGAGGCGGCGACGAGGCAGCAAGTCCGCGGGGGCGCACCCGGCGCAGCCGCGGCTGGGCGCTGGGGTCAAGCAGCGCTCGTCCCGCGGGCGCTCGCCGGCCGCGGCAGCGGCGGACCGATCAGGGGCGGCGACCCCAGGAACGATCATGATACTGACAGGGGCCCAGTGATCACACCTCCGAGTCCATGTGGCGGTCAAACTTCATGGCAAGATTGGCCAGATCATACACCTTGAGCTGCGGCGGTGCGCGCGGTCGCGATTTAAAGGGCGGGAGGTTGCTCGGGCGATTTGTGGCCCGGCACTAATCAGTCGCTGGACGGGCGCCCAGGCCCGCGGCCGCAGCTGCTGCCGCTCGTGCTGCGGCAGGTGCTGCTCGGGCACCAAGGGCCCGTGCTGGACCTGGCATGAACTGCAGCAGCTAGCAGCGGCGGCAGCGGCGGCAGCAGCGGCAGCGGCAGCGGCATTAGCGGCGGCGGCGCCCCAGTACCATCCGCAGCAGCATGATGCATGCAGTACACTGTACGGGCAGCGGCCAGGCACCCACCATTGGCGGGTGGTAGCCCGTGGCGAATATGTACTGCCCATCGGGCGTAGCCTTGAGCCGCTGGCACGCCGAGGGGAAGCCAAACGACTGCAGCAGCTCCAATCGGCGCCGGTACTCCTCATCCCTGCGCAGCGCCCGCTTCTTCGCCTCTGACAGCCACGCAGGCAGCGCCTTGCCAGAGGTCACGTGGTACACCTGGCGCCAGTGCGTGCGCGAGCATGTGTGTGCATGTGCGTGTGCTTGTGCGTGGGGCATGAGGATGCGGGTGGCTTCAGGGCAAACCGCAGGCCTGGCGTCGAGTTCCAGCTCAGTCCTGCTGTGAACAATTGAAGAATCAAAGCGCCTGCTTCGTCACAAAATTGAGGGCGGCTGCGCCTGCAGCGGCTGTAGTGAAAAAGTCGCGAGCGCAGCGGCATGGGCGGCGGCGCAGCGAGCGGCGGCCGCCGCACCTTTACCCCGTCCGACGCCGAAACCTTCATCGCCATGTTGGCTGGCTCCGTAGACTTTTAGAAATCGCCACAAACTATACGGCTGCCGCAAATCCTGCGCGGCGACGGCCTCAATGAAATTTATACTTGCGACGAACCAATCAACGAGCGTCGCAATAGCGCTGCATACAAAGCATGTTCCTTATCATCTACATCCGCATGCTATATGGGGCTTTGCTAGATCCGTGCCAGCCGCTGCGATCCTGCCGCTCGCACCGGCAGGCACTGCCAGCGTCACTGAGTGAGTGAGCGCCCGACCCCCGCATGGGCGAATAACAAGGTTGATAGAGGATTGCTGGGGCTGGTATTTGCATACAATATGATCCTGTTGCAGTGCTGAACAGTGCGCGTAGGCCGAGGAGCGGACGGCCAGCGGGCGGGACGCCCCGTCAAGCTGATGTGTGAAAACTTCGAAAAGACTGGGCTTTCTTTCTGATTACTGGATGCCAGGGAGTTGAAAGCAAAGCAAGCGTTCAAGGATAGTCAGCCAGCACTCGGTGACAGGGCTGGAGCGTCCGAGTCAAATAAGTTGGGACGCGGTCAAACACGCAAGGCAGAGTGGACGCGCAAGCACCCATGCCTGCTGCTGGAAGTGTTTATGCGCGCCTTCAAGCGGCGCGGCTGCAGCATGGAGCGCACGCAGCGCACCACCAAGACAAATTCCAGCAGCGCGTCGCAGAGCGCGAGAGCCTGTCGCAGAGCTTGTTTATTCTGGGTGACGCTCTGGCGCGTGGTCATGCGCCCAGCATGACCACCCGCATGTCGTTGGGCTGCAGGATGAAATGAAAAGCTGCTGCAAGCAGTCATTGCGCAGCCAAAGCCAAGGCAAGAGAGGTGTGGGGACTGTGGTAAGAGAGTTGATGAGGCTGCGGCAAATGCACCGCGCATCAAGGCAGGGGCCGCTTGTTGTGTTCAAGGCTATCACACTCCCCTGTGCCTGCTGATCTCCCCGCCCCTCCGCCCCCTGCAGAACTTGAAGGCCAACGCCTGAGCGGAACGCAGAGTCCCAGTTGATGCTGGATATGATTTATGCGCCAAAGCATGCTTGGCTGGGTGTGTGTGCGTGAGGATGTTTCGCTGTGTCCTGCTGCTTGTGGATAGCGTGATGAAATTCCTGCCACCTGCCCTCTGCAATGCAGAGCTGCTGACCCAGCAGCCACCAAGGAGTTGATGCAGCTGCAATGGCGCAAACGAATGGGCACAAGGCACACAATATTGTGCAGCAGTGCGGCAGGTAAAGTCGCTCAGACTGGCGCAGCGCCGTCGGCCGCGGATGCAGCGCCGTCGCCGCCGCCGCCGCCGGCAGGCATCAGCGACGGGCCGCCGCCGGTGCTGCCATCACAATCGCCGCTCGGCTGGGAGCACGCGCGGCCTTCAGGGAACGCCGCGGCGGGCGGCATCCTGAGGCTCACGCTCACGCTGACGTCATCATTGCCCACCGGGCCCGCCTCGTCCTCCTCCCAAATGCTGGTCGCACCCTCCTTCACCCCCTTCGCCTCGCCGCTGCGCCCCGCCGGGCGCAGCCACCGCCACGAGCGCCCTGCTGCGTCCGCCGCGCCGCGCGGCTGCGCCGGCGCCGCGCCGGCGCCGTCTGGCGCCCGTGAGGCTGCGCCCGGACCAGCAGGGAGCTTGACGCGGGTCTTGAACATGCTGGTAGCGGCCGCCCTGAAGCCTTTCCTCTCGAACGTCTTGTTTGTGAAGATGGATGCGATGACGCCCTGAAACGTGGAAAGAGGGGTTGTGCATTCAACTATTGACCCAGAAGCCGCCGCCAGAGTGCTGGCTCGCTGCAGAAGAAATTGGCGCATCACATGTACAAATCTTGAAGGCTGGACGAATTCACGCTGCTGCGCAAACCCCTCCTTGCAGACCCATCTAACAGGGCATTCGCCCTGTTGCTGCGCCGCCCGCCGGCCAGGCAGCCCACCATGTCCTCCATCGTGTCCGGCAGCGGCGTCCCCAGCGTCTCCGGCAGCGTGAAGATCAGCAGCCCCGCCAGCAGCGCCGCGCAGCCCATCGTCAGGAACGGCACCAGCCCCGGGTTGTCAAAGCGGTCGCCCGCCATGATGATGAAGGGCGCCACGATCGCCCCCACGCGCGCCGCCTGGTTCTCGGCCCCCAGGACGGACGTGCGGATGAGCGTCGGGAACAGCTCGCTTGTGTAGATGGACGCGACAGAGAACGCGCCCGATATGCCAAACTTGCCGACCGCCGCGAGCCCGACACGCGCGCCGCCCGCCGGCACGAACGCGCAGCCCGCGCACGCGCCGCCGCCGGCGAGGAGCATGGCCGCCATCGTGTTGTGGCGGCCGAAGGCCCCGATGGCCCAGGCGGCGACGAGGTACGAGGGCAGCTCCGCGATCGAGCTGAGCATGAAGGACGTGCGCAGGCTGCCGCCCAGGCTGGACAGGGCGAAGGAGATGCCCTGGGTGGGAGGCAGCGGCAGCAACCCACATTGAGAGGGCTGTCGTGTGGGGAGCGGTGGGGAGGGGGCGCTTTGGGGTGCCAGTCCATATCAAACGCCGGCAATGACAGCAACCCCTGGATTATGACAAGCAGATCCTGTCAGTGGCCACTGCCTGCACGCCAGCTGCATTGGCCGCTGAGGACAGCACACATGCAGCGCACGGGGCCCAGCGTGGCCCCACTGTGCTGGGTGGCACCCGAGCCCTTGGGTAACTCACATAGTAGGCCATGCACCTGGGAAATAGGGAGAGGGTGAAAGGTTGAAGAGCAACGAATCGGGCATTGTCAATGTATGACGGCTTCTTCTTGGAGGGTCCTTGAAAGTGCCGAGCACCTGGGGTGCCGTGGATTTTGGCATGGAGTGCCGGCAAGACCCCGACAGCCCGCAAGTGCAGAAAGCATCCAACCCACACTCTGCTGAACGTGCGCTAGGACTCTTGACTGTATTTCACGCGAAAACAAAGCTCATCTGCGCGGCTCACATGACCATCCAGGAGAAGGACAGGACCAGGAACCTCCGCGCAATGTGCCAATCACGCAGCGCGGCGCCCAGCGTCAGCGGCTGGCTACCGCCGCCCGCGCCCCCTCCGCCATTTGGGTTGATGTCGGCGAGCGGTTGGTCTGGGGCGCGCGTGCCGTTCCTGCGCGCCAGGCACTCCAGCACCTGGTGGGTGCACGGGAGCGGGCAGCCGGCGCCAACTTGCCCTTTCTGTCAAGTGTGCCAGCTCTGTCAAGGGCTGGGGGTGTGTGTGCATAGCAAGGAGGACATCGCTCAAGGGCGGCACGCGCGACGATTGGTTTGATGCGTGGCGTGTGTTGGGGCAGCAGGCTGCACAACTCCTTTCCTGCAGCACGGCAAGCGGCTCTTCTCCATCGCAGCCCTGCTGCGCGAGTGGATGAACGCGCGAGCCCCAGCCACCTTCATGGCCTCGTCCTTGCGGCCGTGCGCCAGCAGCCAGCGCCCGGACTCGGGCAGCACCGGCCACAGGAGCAGCAGCGCGCCCGTCAGCACGGCCGCCGCCGCGGCCTGCGCGCGCCAGGCGGGGAACACGACCGAGACCAGCACCAGCAGGAACTCGCCCGCAATGAAGAACACCTGGAGGGCGGTTTCCGGGTTTGCAGGCCGGGTGGTGTTTAAACGGAGGCGCTCAAAGAGAAGGCGGTTGCAGAGTTTGACAGCACGCTCAGGTGTGCCGCACATACAGCGCCCTACGCGGAGCGCAGACTCGCCGAATATCGTGTTTGCAGGGGCAGATTGCACACGTAAAGCGGCACACGTGCACACACGCACACGCACGCGTACACACACGCACTGAAACACACACAGCGCGCGCGCGCACAAACACAAACACACACACACACACACACACACACACACACACACACACACACACACACACACACACACAAGCTCCATGCGGCTGCCAGTCCTCGCCTGAGTGATGATCCCAGCCGCGCCTGGCATATGCAGAGCAAAGAGGGTGTGCAAGCGTGCCTGTCAGCGGTGAAGGATGCATGCCTACTCAGCCCGCATGCATGCAGACGCCGCTGTCATGACCTTACATGCAACCAGCAGAGGATCCACATGCCCACCAGCTCCTCCTCCCCTCGCCCTTATCATGCACCCTTACATGCACACAACCGTCACCACGCATACACGCATGCACCATCACTTATGCGCAAGGGTTCCCAGAAGGTTTCTGTTACGTGGCCCCTTTCCATGGCACCTCTCCACCTCCACCTCCACCCGCGCACCCCTCCACCGCGCGCCGATCGCCTCTGTTGCCAGCACGTACGCCCCCAGTCCCGTGCCCGACGCCCCCACACCAGCCAGGGCGCGCATCACCAGCCATGGCCAGTAGCTGGTGCAGCCGGAGCCGGCGGCAGCAAACACGGCGCTGATCGTCGCCGCGCTGAAAAGGCAGGCCTTGCGGCCGAGACGGTCCGACAGTGTGCCAAATACGCCAGAACCGAGGCCGTAGCCGAGGAAGAAGAATGAGTTGGCAACCTGCGCCTTCCAAGCATCTGCAGGGGTTGAGCACGGCCATGGCATGAGCCAAGGGCAAGGGCTCCGGAACACTCACAAATCAGGTGCATGTGCATGCCAGAACGCAGCACTTGCCAGTTGCTGAGGCACATGCTCACAAGCATGCATGCATTTGAGATTAGGGGCTGCCAGGGACATACAATCAAAGGACGGGCGGGCCCATGCAACACACGGGACATTCATGTGAGGCCAAGGTAAGGGGAAAGCGCCTTGCATGGAGGCCCATGCACTGCATGAGGAGGTTGTGCGGTATCATGCATGGCGGGGCGCATGCGACACAACGAAAGCCTGCACCTTCGCATATAAGGTCAAAGCTCGCCACGAGGCTCTCTGAGGGGCGGGTCCACCGCCACTGGTCGCGCTGCAGAGAGCACATGGCCACCGCCGGCGCCGCATCGGCGAGGGCGGCGGCACACGATGGGTCGGTGGGGTCGACGCACTCCCAAAGTCGCTGCGCTGCGGGGCTGCGCTCGGGATGGCAGGGCGGGTGGGGTGCAAGCCAGGGGTCGGCTAGGGCCAAACGCTGCCACTCAATAACAAACTGCAAGCCTTTCTATCGGTTCTCACCTGCCGACAGAGAACACTAACAGCAGGATTAGGACCGCGCCTGGTAGCCAAACGAGGCAGCATGTGCAGAAATTGATCAGCTGCCCTCGGCCAAAGCCGCCGACGTAGCGCTCCAGTGCCTCATCGAAGGTGAGGCCACGCGCAGGCACGACATACGACTCCACAGCAGCTGTCTGCCCTGTGGCTGCGCTGCTGCTGCTGCATGCGGCCGGGCGCTCGGCGTCGCATACGAGCACTTCAGCTTGCGCTGTCATTGCGGGCGGTGATGTGTGGTCTGAGGCGATCTGCACGACCTGATGCCCAGCAGCTTCTTCCATCTCACGGCTTCTATTCTTTGGAAGCGCCATGGCTGTGCGCGGAAAAAAAGCTCGGACAGATCGTGCCCGACTCAAAAAGTCCTGCTACAAGCGGGCCTTTTCAGGCCTGACACTCCTCAAAGAATCATCAAAAACGAGCATATATCTACCAGATAGGTGCAGTGTATGTGGGTGATGTGGCACTTCCCTCCGATGCTTTTGACCCAGTCTTCCTGCCAGTCATGTCATCAAAGACAGGGATCAAGACATGCAGCAGCTCAGCTCGGAGAGCATCAGCCCTTGGCAAGCAGCAATGTTGCCGAACATCTGGGTGCAGACAAGCAGAAACCAAATGTTTCAACAGTGAGCGCCACTTGTGCTGGCTGCGTCCAGCCTGAGCCCAGTTTGCGGCCAACGCTGCTCGCCTCCCTGAAGCCCTGAGAGGTGTGCAATGGAGTTGGCGAGCACACAGCCCCCTGTTCCGACAGCGAGTCAGCCTTCTGCCCTTCCCTGCAGGTCTGCAGCCCCGTGCCTCAATGCCTTACAAATTGGCAACCATGAAGGGAGAGGAGCGTACGCGCCGCAACGTGCATGCGAAAGAAGGCACACTACCGTCGACAGGACCTCCTTGTAGTCTGCCCCTGGCCGCCTGACGCGCCCTGTGCAAATGAAAGAGCTCAGCATCACACCCCGGCTTCCAGGGGTTGTTGCTCGGCCGCCGTTGGCGCAGCGCCCCGCCACAGGGCGGCGACGGGCCGTGCGGCAGGCCGTCCCAAAGCTGCCACAGGGCGCCAGATATGATGCACCCAACCCAGCATGCAACGTGCTGCCCCGCCGTCATTCAAGGCGGCGCGTGCCCAACGGGGCCGCGTCCGCCACGCAGAGGATGCCAAGCGCTAAGCAGCTTGCAAGGAGAGGCTGTTCAAAGTTGCAGCAGCCGGTGCAGGCAGAGCGGGCGCCAGTGTGCCATGCATGTGTGCAAGAACTTGCGGAGGAGGCCCCCGAAGACGGGAGGGTGGCGCGGCGTGCGAGGACAGTGCCGTGCAGCTGCTGCCTTGCTGGACAGGATGCATGAACGCCGGGCTGAACACGCCCGAAAAAGTTGTTTTGTACAACACAGACAGCCCTAGCCTGCCGAATCAAGTTGGGGGCAAGTAGGGGCGCAAGAGCCCATGTGCACAGGGGAAACCGGGGGAGGGGGGAGGTGGTGAGGGCGGGCGAGCGCGGGGGCTCATGCCGTTAACGAAGTGCTTCCGCCTTTGAATGTGGAGGGCTGCTAGACGTTCGCCTCACAGCTCCCAAGTGGGCAGCCCTGTTCGTTCGCAAGCGCAACGCGCCCGCGCGGACCGGGGGCCCTGGAGCCGCTGGGCATGGAGCCTAGCTGTTGCTGCTGCTCCGTCAAGGCCGGCACACGGGCCGCGGCGGCCACAAATGCGAACGGCGCAACTGCATGCCACAGGAGGCCCTCAAAGGCTCTAGTCTGTCCCTCGTGCAGACATGCAAAGTTGTTGTTTGTGCTACGGTACAATGCTGACTGTACGTGCAGGCCTGCGGGCGACGCGGCGGCCGCCTCAGCTTGCGCACTGCCCCTAGACGCCGTATGAATCCTGTCTGCATGACATTTGGGCCTGTGCCCCCCCTTCACCGATACGAACAACAGGACAAGCTACTTGAGACTCCGCCCCCTGATGGCGGGAAGCGCCGTGGCTGCGGCCGGCCGCGCCGGCCCTGACAGGGTCCGCGCCGCACGGTGCCACCTCTGCTCTTGCGCAGCGCCGGAGTTACTACTGGCCAGGGAAGCGCGCCGCCTCAAGCGATGCGTCGCCTGCGCTGCTGCTGGCTGGCAGCGAGCCGAGGTGGTCGTTGCTCGAGTCGCTCCGGACCATGTGCAGCGCGTCGCCAAGCGCCTCCCCATGCTCGCTGAGGGATGACAGCTCTGCGGCCGAGCGCAGCAGCGGCTCGCGGCAGCCGGCGTCGCCGGCGGCGGGGGCGGGCCCATACGC